TTTTACAGTCCACAGCAATAAATTATCACCAGCTCTTAAAGCAGAATTATTATGACAATATCCCTGACAGCCTTGGAAGGGATTGGCATAGTAAATTAAACAGTAGCTGTCATGATAGCTACTGTTGTGTAGACGATTACCAGTCAAATGTTGCACCTTATCTGTAACAAAGATAAAATGAAAAACGTTTTTCGTATTATATTTATAATTTTTCTGAATTTAAAATCCTACCCAACATTTATACGTTCTTCCATATTAAGGTTTATTTTTGGGTCGTCAAAGGAGTCTTTTTATGTAAATATTATAGATTTTTAATTATGTTTACCACATTTAGATTTAAAGTAACTTTTCGAGTTTCTTCAATATTATGTCCATTATATTGTCAGAGGCATTTTTTAAGAAAAAGCTGATGATTTTTAATCCAACGTTAACCCAATTTTCGACCTAACTGTTGAAGAACTTTAATATGTTAAAATAATTCGAGATGTGACCCTACTGACTAAAACCGTTCATATTTTACAAGATAGATATAATTTTATAATTACATGTGATATGGAAATAAAAAGAAAATTTTCAGATATGGAATGCTCAACTAGGTTTATGGAACTGGAATATTATCCCCAAAACAACAAAAATATCTACAATAGTATAGTACTTAGTATCAAAACATATCGGTCAGAAACTTGGACCTTTAAAAGCGCCCTCAGGAAGAAACTTTTAGCCACAGAAATGGACTACTGGAGACGAGCGGCGGGAATATCCAGAATGGATAAGGTCAGAAATACGACCATCAGAGAAAAGATGGAGGCTAAAAGAACCATTCTGGAAGAGATTGAGATAAAACGCCTGAAGTGATATTGACATTTGAAAGGAATGCCTGAAGGAAGACTACCCAAAGAGGTCTACTTATGGAAAACTAGGGAAAGAAGAAGACGAGGAAGACTTGGGATAACGAAGTGGAGGAATCCATGATAAGTCATGGTCTGCGAGAAGAATGGGCCTTAGATAGGACATTACGGAAAGAAGACATCCAAGAACTTTAGGTTAAAGAAACCCACTATTAATGGAAACTGCTAATAAAAAAAAAGAAGAAAAAAAGTGAAAAATTAAAAATAGTTCTGAGATTATTACTTATTAATTTGATTTATTCGTATTAAATATAATATTTATAAAATAATTAATAAAGTAAAGCTAATTATTTTTCAACGAATGATCATTACTTAAAAGATAACTAGTGTCGCCCAAAATCGTTCTTGACCTTGTAATTTGCAAGACCAAGGCTGGTAAAAAAAAATCGATTAAAAAAATAAATTAATGCAAAATAGTTCCTAATACGTGACAATCTTAGTTACTATAGATAGATAGATAGATAGAAAGTAAACTTTATTCTGGGACAAAGTCCCTTATGAATAACAGATATGAACAAAAAAAATAAAAACTACATCTGGTCAAAAATTACATTAATCAATATTAAAGAATATATACAGTATCTTCAGTGAAGTTCAATTAAAACAAGTAAAAATAAAATAAAATTTTGAGAAAAAACGAAATAAAAAAAACAACATTATTTAAATGAAAAAAAAAATAAAATAAGCATGGGTTGATTTTTAAAATTAAGACTCAATAAATTTTATCAACCATTCACCTCAGTCAAAATCTGTTTCGCTATATTTATTTTATTGTATAACGTCATTTTGAGATGTGAGAAGGAATTGGTAAAGATGATATTTAAATGAGGAGGCATGGCGGATTTCAGATGGCAAGGAATTCCAGAAGGCTGTGGATCGGGAAATAAAGGAATATTCAAACGTCTTAGTTCTATGGGAAGGGATATAAAGGTCGGAAACACGGGATCTTGTTTTCTGGGAGTGGACCACGGGTGTAAACTGTAGGAGACTGTAGATGTAGGAAGGGTGTCTGGTGTTGATTGTTTGGAAAAGGAAAGATCCGAGGAAATATTGTCTCTATATGTTAATAATTGGTATAATCAATATAATTTCGCAATTAACTCGTCTAATTTTTCATTCGGGGTTAGTTAGGTTTCTCCATCTAAAAAAATTACAGTAATATCTTTATAATAATAAGCTAATAAGTAACTGCAAAAATGTTGAGACTCTTGCGCAAGACCAAGACTGAGTTTGCAAGACCAAGACTCGTCTCGGTCTCGCATTTGGGCAACACTGAAGATAACACATTTTTATTTATTCGGTTTTTAGTTTAATATTTGTTTTTCTAATTGTGGCTTGCGTCCCTTTACCTCCAAAACTAAGATGGTTTGTTCGGAAGTTATGTGTAAGTGATTTGGTCCCTATGAGGGAACACTGGCGGACAGAACAGAACAACTCTTAAATATAAAGTATACTGACGAGTTTTCAGATCAGCTAAGCAATCAACTCTATTTTTTTCGGTAGAAAAATCCCTTTTAATCTCTATAGATAATTACTTTATTTTAAATTTAACCAAATTTCCAGCTTTTCAGGCATCCAGGGAAAATCTGATTTTATATGTAATTTAAATTTTCATCTGAAAAAACATATAAAAAAATCTTACAGAGGATAGTAGTAAGTAGTAATTGTTTAATAGTAAACATTAGCCCATTTATAAAACCATAATAACCTTAAAAATAATACTCACAATATATATATATATATATAATTAAATTTATGTTATAAAATAAAATATTGAATTATCAAAGTACACAAATATCTATAGTCCGTGGTACAGACCCCTTTTTATCGAATTATTAACATGCGTCTGAAACTTTGTAAATAGCTTCATCTCATCATTACCTACAACTATTTTATTTACAAAAACTCTTGGGGCGTTTTCAATCTGGAAGTCGGCAAACTTTACCTATTTAATTAGTTACTAAAAACTCGTAAATACCAATTTGCTTTCTACTTGGTTCGTAAGTATAATTTGGTCACAAAATCTAGAAAAAAAGGCGGCCTTAAAAAATATTGAGCCGTTTGCTGTGACCTACACTCCAAAAATTTCAAAATAACGAGGTTATATACGACAAACGGACCTATATTTTTGTAGGTAACCGTTTTTCTTGATTTCGCGATCAAATTATCTTACGATCTAAGAATAAAGCAAATGAGTATTCACGAGTTTTTAGTAGCCAATTAAATAGACAAAATTTGCCCCCCTTCAGATTGAAAACGCCCCAATGCTAAGAGTTTTCGTAAATCGAATAGTTGTAGGTTACGGTGAGTTGAAGCTATTTACTAAGTTTCAGGCGGATGTTAATAATTCGGTAAAAAGGAGTCTGTACCACGGACTATTTTTTAAAAAAAGAAGTCCACATTTGACACTGTATAGCAAAAAAAACTTGTTTTTAAACCAGAACACCTACTAAATTTTTTTTTAATCTTTGTTAATTTTCGCCCCCTCCCCTCTCCTCTCCCCGAGCTAAATTGATATCCTTAAACTAGACCCAGCTAACGGAAGGAAGGAATGCGGACCACAGCGGAACTATTTTGGCGAATTACGTATTCATGACATCGACCACAGCTATAATTATCGATGATGTGGTCATTATACCCGAGGCTGTATAATAATCTTAACTTACTACACTACGTCATCGTTACATTATACCTAGTGCTGAGGAGCTCTTGATAATCGTTCGGATCAACTCGACAATTATCGGATTACAGACAGCACACGCGAATAGTCGGCCATGTTAGATGTAGCTCGGCTTCTATTTGAAATTTTTGTTCCAATAGTCCGCTAATAAAATTTATTAGAACCATCTCGAACCAAAGTCCGAAATTGTCAAAAAAATCTAAATAGGATCCAAATAAATAATAAAACTAATGGCTAGGTTGATTTTTAATTATAATATCTTAAATTATGAGTGTTGTGAAACAATTTGAGCTAAAAACTCTAAAACGTTATTCAAGAAAATGAGTTTAGTCAACTCGCTAAAAGTATGTAACTATTTTTTGAGCGATCCGTTGAAACGTATAGTCATATTTAACGGTCTAAGATTTCCAATGAAACCCCGTAAGTGATTTGAATCAATTTGTATCGATTTATTGAGCGAACGACTTGAATTATTTTTAAGTTGAATATTTCAAATGATACAAAAAGATATCGGTGTTTTAAAACAATTTGATCTAAAACATTTTTATAAAACGTCTGTTTAATTGTTTAATATCATCTTTGTTGTGACCTAATTCCTTAACTAAGTACATAAAGATAAAATGGTACTGGTATTATAACAGTAAAAAAAAAGAGAAATAACCTAAAGGCTTACTTTTAATGTAAAAAAATACTAATAAAATGACTGTCTTTAAATATTTAATGATCTCAAGAAGTGAAAAAAAAAAATATATATATATATATATGGAGATGGTACTGCATCTGTATAGATAGACGTGTGTACTCTCACTTAGTATTGCCCAAATGCGAGACCGAGACGAATCTTACAGTTACTTATTAGCTTATTATCATAGAGATATTACTGTAATTTTTTAGATAGGAGAAACCTAACTAAGCCCGAATGAAAAATAAGAGGAGTTAAGTGCAAAAGTATATTGGTTATACCAATCCTTTACATATAGTAACTAAAATTGTCAAGTATCAGTAACTATTTTGCCTTCACTTTTATTTAAAAAATCGATATTTTTTTACCAGTCCTGGTCTTGGTCTTGCAACAGATAGGCGCCCTTGGTCTTGGCACTTACCAAGACCAAGACCGATTTTGGGCAACACTACTCTCACTCTACTAAACAGCTCGAGTTGGGGTAGCTGGAGTCAAATCCCGCCGACAAGATTTAAGTCCTTTCTTATATTTTGCTTATGGGGTATGTAAAGCAATAACAACTGGCCTATATTGATAAATAGCTTAATTTAATATAAATCTAATTTAATGTAATGTTATTAATTGCCATGTAAAGCCCAATTTACCATTAAAATAAAATAAAAAAATATATTTCACAATGTTTCAGCAACAATAACTATTTATTACCTGTTATAGAGCAGACTCAGCCCTCTCAACTAAATAACCAGCTCCAGTAAGAAGCTACAGTTGATAGTCGACCCCTTAGCGGTCGTATCGACGGGACTACCGCTCCCCACGAAGACGTCCTTACCCTGTCATCATCCCTTAATCTCCTCAAGGTGCGGGGGATAAGGAACGGGGGCAGGGGGGATGAAGTAAACTTGGTTAACGAAGTTGTCGTTCCTTTGGCAGCGCTGGGATTACACTGACAAAACATCTGTTTGCCTTCCTCGAAGGTCTGGCTTGTTTGACGTCTTAGCGTGTGTGCCTTCATAATAGTTGTTTACCCCCAGCCTCGAAGGAAATCCGAAAAGCATCTTTACAAAATCTTCAAAATACTGCATTACTTTCCAACGATAGTTTATGAAATCCTGCTTGAAGAAAAAATCGGGGATCGGAGTTCTGACGAATAGTGAAGGACCAATGAAGAACTATTTACAGAAACTGGTTTGTTAATAACCCATGACATGAAGGCGAAGAAGTTAAGATGGGCCTAGAATGTACCTCTACACAACAATGAATGTCTCAATAGTTGGCAAATGGCAACGTGAACACCTGCTGGATTGATCGAATCTTCCTGAGTACTATAGAGCTTAATGTAGATTATGGATTACACCAAAATAGTTGGCAGAGGTGAAGAAAGTCTACAAGATCTGTAAAGCCTCCCTCTCTTCCCCACCCAATATATATATATATATATATATATATATATATATATATATATATATGGTCTCTCATAGTCGGTGTACACCCTCTGGGCGCTACTTACGTAATATTTAAGTCCGGAGATAAAACAGGTGTTTGATAGTTTTTTTGTTTTTTTTTTATATTCATGTCACACCATGAAAAATACATATTTTAAAGAGAAAACAAACAAACAAGACACACCAGATTGTACGAACCCCAACTCCCACCCTTCAGCCGAAGACTAATACCGACAGCAGAGGTTTAGATTGGAGCAGCCTTCGATGGCTGATTGCTGTTCGCTATCTCTCCTCTCCCTCCCCCACTTTTTATACAAACATTCCCATCCTTAGGTGTCTTCCCCAGGAGGTGCTGTATTAGAATTCCCTGGCCCTACCTCCTTCCTCGCCCTCCCCCCCGAACAGATATGAACTTATGCCCCTTGTTGACTCCCGTCCCTCGTGTTGACACAACGACCTCGGCGTTTCGTTATGAGGTTTCTTCTCGGTCACATAGCTAACTCACCGAGGGCAAACAGATGACTCTCTTATTAGGAGTCAAAACCAATTCGCCAGATTTAAGTCTTTAAAAAAAAAAAACAGCTTTTTTTGCTTTGATAGGAAAAAAATTCCTTTACCATCCGTATTAAATATATATAACACATACAGCGATGAAGAAGCTCCAACAATTTCATAACGGGGCTACGAGACTTATTTAAAGATACTACGTTACAAAGAATAAAATCTGACTTACTGCCTACCACTTTCGAATTCTAACGCACTTTGGAGCTGAAATAACGTTTTTTCGAAAACTGTTCCTATGACTACGAATGCTTATACTTACTAATAGTCCGTTGTAGACTTCAATGCCCGTACAATTCTATGCATCCCGATCTAGTGTTAATTGTTTTCAACCAGTTATTCCAATCCTTGCCAGATCCTCTTCCAGGACATCCAGCTATCGTCTCATAGGGCAAATGTTATTCTTGAGTAACCAGTACCAAGTATTTTGCTCAAATTGAATCACTACTTCAGTTAATCGTGTGGCATCTACTGGTGTAGTAATTAAATTAAAGAAAAGAGATGGTCAGAGGTGGCGGTCATAAATAGTGGCAAAACTATTTTATTAAAAACCTTGGATTAGTTTTGCCACTATTTATGACCGCCACCTCTGACCATTTCTTTCCTTTATAATGCAACGGTCAACTATTAAACATTTAATTGTAATTAAATTCTTTGGTACTCAGTACTTCTAGAAGCAGTTGCCCATTTCTGTCTAGGGCGTCCTCTTTTATTTCCCGAAGAAGTTCTCTTGGTTTTACGAATCGTTATAGAAATTAACGCTAAAAAAAAAAGTACTTCGTACAAACGGTCCCAAATCAAGCCTTTACTGTTCTAAAAATATGGAATTCAATTTCTTTGTAAAAATTGATAGTTACTAAAAATAAATATGGATGAAACAAAATTTTCTGAAATTTCGGTCAAGTTATTTTTTTATTGGGTTAGCCTACGTTTCGACCTTAACATGTATGCCAAAACGTCAGCTAATCCAATAAAAAAATATCAACCGTTCTTATGATTGATCAATCGACTACTTAGCCATCTCTAAAAATAAATATGTCCGCTTGCCCAAACATTCTTCGTAAAATCAGAAATCCTGATCCATGCTATTGATTATATTTAAATAAGGAAATTTAATTCAAATCGAATTCAAAGGATTCTTTGTTTTTCTTCTCATAAACCAATACTGCATTTATCAACTTCCAGAGTACGCATTAACCAAAATCGGTGTACTAGGTAGAAGTAATTTTTTTTTTTTTTTTGTTAAAAAACTACAAAAAAACTAAGTTGTTTGCAATAGACCAGACGGTATAAGTGGATTCATCAACAAGGCGAGATTATTAATGAGAAATATAAATTATAAATAATAGCTCATTATAAATAGGAAAAGGTGCTTATGCAAAAACGTTACATATCGCAGATCTGAAAGCTCAATCTATTAAAAAAAATCAGAAAAAATAATCACAATTTTTACTTATATTCAATAAAAATATACTTCTATTGTGTGTTTTCTTGTTAAATTTGTTGATGGACCTGAAAGATTTGTGGGGTAAGCCTTAAATTTACGTCCCAGAATAATGATTATTTCCTAATATTATTTTATTTTCCTATCAGTTTCTTTATTTATTATATATTGCCTTGCTATTTTTGTGATACTGAGAGAGTAAGAAGTTTGTTTTAGAGGCACAAGCAAGCCTATTCTAATCACGAGAGAAATTTTAACCCACAAGACCGGAATCGAACCTACGTCTCTAGATTCGAGAATGTTAAAAGGTTACGCTTTTATACGCTCGGCCATCACCCCCCCCCAAAAAAAAAACCAAAAACGTTTTCTATTTATTTTATCTCTTTTTATATGAACTCAGTTCCAATATCGAACTGAGATGACTTGCAATATAAAATCGATAATAATAATGACCTCCCCAGAAGTGCCATCGAAGGAATGACACACATCGATAGATCGAGTACAAAAGGCCGAGGGAGGGAGGTTTGGGGGTGTGATGCATTGCCTCTGGATTGCGGCTAATGTTTACCTTCCGCTCCTCACTATCGATTCCACAGGTCGATATCGCTGTTCGATAGGGGCTCCCAAAGAGATATATTTTCCGCTTGGCCAACTCTTTTACTGAATAAACTATGCAGCGGGTCCCTTTCTGTTTGGAATTGGGCACGATGTGTGCGCCATATTGTTTGCTATTTGATGCCATTGATTGCTTTTTGAAACATTCATCACAAGGGGACCCGAAGAGCTCCGTGTTGATTTTGATCCCAATCATCAGAACAAATATGATGATAATAATTAAGTAGAAACCTTTCCAATTACTACAGGTAAGATGAACCAAAACTTGTATACTTAAGTTAGGAGAAAATAAACTTATCATCTCTTAATAATATTTTTTCTGTAGGTTGTACTTATTTTCAGCATTGAAAGAAAAAACAATTTGTTTCGAGCCTTAATGAAATAATATATATAGACATGTCGAAAATGTATTTCAAAAATGCCATTCACAAAAGTTGTCAATTTGTTTTAATTATTAGATATGCTCTTTTTCTACATTGCCTATCATTTTATGCTTATTATTCTCTTTTAAATTTAAATATTGATATTCACCTGTCGAAGAACTGTTGACAATCAGCTGATGAACTGATAAAAATAGTGGACATTATACATCAGACATGAGCAACGATAGCAGCCCTCTTACGTGGCTTGAATCAATTACCATCTTCTTTTCAGACGCCTCGGAGGGTTATCAGGAATCGAAAAAGAAGCAGGGTTAGAAACGAGAGGATTCGGATGGTTCTGAAGTTTATTTTGGAAGGATAGATATCTGGATTGGGCCAAATCTGATACATAAGGAACATTAAGGTCATTATGGATGATTTTATTTGTAACAAAGTAGGGAGTATTGAGGATTTTACGAAGGATTTTGAATTGTAAGGATTGAATACGAGAGGAATTCGATGGTTTAGTGGAGCCTCATAGCTCAACTCCGTAAGTCCAAATAGGAAGGTTACAGCGTTTGTCTAGTGAATGTTGAAGTATTCGGAAACGCCCGGCGGTTTCTTGTGGTTTCACTCTGGTGTGAGGATTCCAAGTTAGACATTCGTCCAGGTGGAGTCCTGTTGTGTATTTTAAAAATTAAAAGCGTGCAAGACCACAAAATATCATTTAAAGAATCCATATATAATCAATGCTCCTATCATTAAACAGATGGCTTAACGTAATTAGGTTATATGGCGGATAAAAGCACCAAATTTGATATGAAGGTGTGTCTATAAATGTTTGCCTAGGAGCCCTCGAAATTTCTAAAGATTTTCATGTATGGTACTATACTTCAAAATGGCCATCAAATCGACCAAATGTCACTTTTAACAATTTACATTTTTTTACTGTTAATTTTTAATTAACTAATTAGTAGTTATTATTAGTTGCGAAAGGATTCCTAAAAGATTAATACCGAATAGTAAACGTCTGAGGGGTAGACCGAAGCGAAGGTGGGAAGATTGTGTCAAAGCTGATCTGAAGGGTCTGGGTTTGGACGGCGAACGGTGGAGGGAGGTATGTAATAAGCGATTGGTGGTGTCGGCATCGAACCTTTGCGTTCGCTAAGCCTTTTATTATTATTATTATTATTATTATAAATATATCATAGAAATTATTTTGAAAAATCACGTGAAAATGGACGTGTACATATGAGAGGTGAATGGATCATAAAATCCTAGATAATGTTTCAATATAATTATATTTGATTATAAATGAAAATTTAAATAATAGGAATATTCAGGTCGTGATAAAATGGTTACGTTCCTACTTATAGATCTTAGCATAGCCAGCAGCCTAGTCGAATTTTCTTAATCGATTTTAGTCTACTTATTTTATTCATATCTTGTTATTATATTATATTAATTATTATTATATTAACTTATTATAATATATCTTATTTTTTATCAGTTTTTTTTTTACTTCAAATTATTGAGAGGGGGGCGGGGACTAGACGTTATTCTCACGCCCTCAACATTTTTATTAGAG